GGGGGGGGGGGGGGGGGGGGGGGGGGGGGGAAATGTATTTTGAATAGTAGATTGATGGAGAATGTGATTAATTATAGAAAAGTTTTGAATTTATGTTTAATATTATTTTATTAAAAAATGTATGGTTGAAAATGAGTCTTGAAAAGAATGAATTTTCAGAAGAATGTGGCTCAAACAAGGGTTTGGTACAGCTTTTCCATTTACTGTTATGTTCACCTTCTGCATTATGTTAATTATAACATCTAAATTCTCTTTTACTGTACTCAGCTTCACTCTATATGCACTTTGCCACTTCAGTCATTCATGAAATTACAACAGCCCTGGGAATTTACTGCTTCAGGTGAGAAGTTTAGTCTTCGATGTGTATGTTTGTATTGATCTCTGCTGAATATAATTTGTTGAGATTCTTTGATTTGATGATAAGGCTCTTCCCCTGTTGACATTAATCCTGTTGAGTGAATTCCATTTTTTCTTCCTGTCACTATTAATAATAATTGTTTTAATGCTTTCTACGCAAATGCAGGATAACGAGGAAAGAAGCTTGAGCCATGATTCCATTATTATCTCGGCATGATATCAACACCTTATCCTTTCGCGGTTTTGCCTTCGTGTCCCTTAAGCCATATTTATGTATCTTATGGTTTCTATGTATCGACTCAACTTGAAACTCCGCTGAAAAAGCCACAAGATCGGAGTGTACGGGATACTCCATTTTTTCGGTTGAACAATTTTAACAAGAATCAATAGTTGGCGACAAAGATTAGTTCCATTTTTATTTACTGTAGTAACAGCTATTGTTAGTTTTCTTATAATTTTTATATGAAGAATTTGTTGCTAAACTAGTTTGGTTGGATAGTTTTGTAGGAGAGTATTCAATGCTATCGAACTTCAGATACAATTAAATGAATCATTTGATTTTATGTTTATTGAATCCATCATTTAATGCCATCTAGTTGCTACTTAGATTGGTGTTAAGTACCATCGGAGCTGAATAGTATAACTCGTGACCTGAACGAAGTTACTTCTATGAGAAGATTGGTTCAGTAATATTACATGTGATAGGAAACATATAATCCTGTAAACTTCAGTTTTGAAGGGTGTAAAATGTAACAAGACTTTTAGTGCTCGTTTGTAAACATGAATTACCTAAACTCTGCCCCATGAAAAGGTATCTTCAAATTGGAAAAGTGATCTGTAAATTTACCATCAAGATGAACATAAATCATAACGCCAGCAAATTCTTGCAGCTTGTGAAGGTGCTTGCGTCTTTCAGTAAAAAATTGCGAGCTGACACAGATGTAATGTAACTTAACTGAGCAATGGCTCGATAACAATCGATCAACTGGTCTCCCAATTATAGTATCCCTCTTAGTATGGTGTGATATACACAACAAATGATTTCTGTGACATGGTTTGTTGTATGGTTATATTGCAGCCGCCAGCCATTTTGGTAGTTTCAGTGAATCCTTCATCCCGAGTCTTGTAAAAAATACGGCATATAAAAGATGCAGCAAGAACACGAAGAAAGCACAGTTGAGCAGAAGCTGCCGAGTGTCGAACAAAAGAATGGAGCCTTTAGTTTCTTGTGCAAGAAGAAAGCAAAAAACGAAGCCACAAATAACACATACCAGGAAGCCGAAGATGAAATATATCAAATTCATTGATGGAATTGCATTAAAGCCGAAGGATGTGAGCATATATGTGAGTAAAGCATGGATGTTGATGGTAATCTACATGCCGAAAGTGAAGAATATAAGACAAAAATGTCATCTTCGATGAAACAAATGAAGGTTGGGAAAAAGAGCACCAGAGAAAGACCATAGATTACCAAATTAAGGATGTTTTCTCCTATTAAAAATGAGGAGATCAGAACATACCCGATGGCTCCTACAGCTCGAACCTGGAAATCAATCATATGCAACTTATTGGTCCAGTCACGGCTAAAAGAAAACATGCTGGTAAAGGGAAATGGATTAAAGGTGCAAAATTTACAAATGAGCATAAGAAAACTGAGGTACTCCAACTTGCTTGCGACCTGCGAAGAACAGAAATAAAATGTCATGCTGCTGTTGCATGGACTAGAATCGTAAAGCAAAGAAGCAAGTCCCAAAGTTAAGAACAGAAAGCAGAAATAGCATTCCCAAATTCAACGGATAGGGCAAACAATCAGGCGATTATTAAATGATTTTCCATCTTTAATTTCTTTGAAATACAGCAATGTGATGTCTTCTAATTTTTTTCTATTGAGATTGCATCACTCTTGATACTCTAGGTCTGTGGAAAACATGCTTCAACCATCTTAGTCGTCATTTGATTAATTTTTCTTCACTTGGTGTCAAATCCACTTTTATGCACACATCCTCAGTTTTTATCATATCTATTTTAACATGGCATAATCTATCTTAACATCCATATTAAACGGTTCTCCATTCATCCAACGAACTCTATTTTATGCATTGCACTCTCTTCAAGTCCTACCTTGTTAATAATTGAATCTACATAAAATAATCACTCTTTGGGACAACATGATCTCCCTCCAACACAACAAAAAGGTGGAAAATAAGATGCCAGTTAATTTGGCATATATAGTAAATATTCACAAACTTTATCAATAGACGTGTAATGCATACCTCCAAGAAGTACCCATAGCAAAACCAAGCAAACCATGCAATAACTGGTTTGGGGAGAAAAAATAAGAAGAGAAAATCAGATACCATAATATTGTCATTCAATCAGAAAGAAATATCATCATTGTTATCGATGGCATAAAATCCAAGAAACAAACAAGGCATACTCTCAATAGAGGAAAAAAATAGTTAGTGTGCTATAACTCGAAAGATGGTGCTTCCTACGTCCAACATTGTTAGTCACAACTTGAATTTTTGGGCTATTTGACTATTTTCTTGAACAAAGATCAATCTTTCTTATCTTGCAGAATTAAGCTAGGAAAGTGGCAAACAACATGGTATATAGTGATACTATTAATGAAGATTTGAAATGGAATATTTCAAAGAAGGGGACAAAGCAAGTCTGAATAAAACATCAAATTTTGTTATGCAAAAAGCTCTATGTGTGACAAGTACGAAGCGGCAGAGGGAAGAGCAAATAGAAAATTTGAGATAGCTTTGCTTCATGTCTAAAGGCAGCAGTTCTTTTGCAGTTCGGGACATACATGAAACTGAAGTTGAGAACTCTCTCTGCATGAAACTTACGTCCAAAATGAAGTAAAAAAGATTTATGTAGCTGCACAAGTTATTTCAAATTCCCATTAACTTCAAATTATATCCAGAAACAATCACGGTGTTGTAAAAGCATATTAAGTAAGTGGGGATTGCAGCGATAGCAATTCCTGTATATTATATAATTGTGAAAGCACTGCATCATCACGACACTTTTTTGCTTTCTTCTTTTTCATTTTTTTTCCCTTTTCTGTTTGAAATCATCCCCATCAAATCCCTAAATACAAGGTTATCTACTGCAGGATATGGGACACGGACCAATTGCTGGCAGTCTAATCGCATCAAAAGAATGATTATTAAAACCTGAGAATCTCTGGAACTGGGTTATCGGGAAAACTAAATCAGCTTAACCCACAAAAAATATAAGTGCAGGAAATATCTTATAATGCAGATTCAACGATGCTCACCAGATAGGTTATCGCTTTCACTGGACCAGATAAGACAAAAAGTAATACAGCAGTTGCCACCTGAAAAGGAAAGAAAACCATGTAACTGGTGCATATGTTAAGCACTTAATACCATCATCATTCTGATTAGCTATTGGGGGTGACAAACCATAGTTTTCCTTCCAGCTGCAATGCCCCATCTCATACTAGATAACACTATAGGCAATGCAAAGAAGCAAGCGAAATATTTCTGTAAAAAATTATACAAGAGTGTAAGTAATCTAAGAATAGAAGTTCAATGGATCATCCATTGACCAAGAAGCCAAAAATTTCTGTTTGTTGATTATCAGTTCTACAAGTTTAACTCAACTTTATTATGAAACATAGTCCTAAATTGATGCAATATAGATGCTTGAGCTTGACAAAACGGGAGGGAGAGAAATATTTGGCATATAACAAAATTTTCAACTGTTAGCCTCTATTTTTTGTATGAACAAAATTATAAACGAAAAAGATGATTAGCTACAAATTCAGATTTATCTTCAACCACATTTTTAATTCAAGTCAGATTTAGGCAGTTTTGATAAATGGCAAACCCTTTGAAAGGGAACGATAGCAATTTATATCACCAATAAGCAGAGATACTATCAAATATAAACAATTGAAGTGCCAGACAGGGTTTAGTAACACCAACTGGAAATTACAAATAGTTTCATTAATTATCAAGTCCTCCTTAAAAGCATGAAATAGTCTTCTGCTGAAGATGTCCTATACAGTAGCATAGCATCCCCTTGTATTATATATGCTGCAGCCTGGAGTCTTCATTGGACAAGATTAATCCACTGCTGCTGATATAACCTCCTCATCTTTTCAACTGATGTCATATTTGCACTTGCACTGATAAATTCCACGTTTTCTTCATTACATTACGAGCCATGCAACCAATTCATTAAGAGCATCATAGTTTCATACATATTCTAGGAGATTTTTAACTTGAATACAGAGCAACTATGCTGCGATTCATGGTGACCATATTGCATTGTCAAAGACTCAAAAGAACTGTTATTCTTTATAGGTTTTCACGTCATAAACATAACAAGATACCTAACCCAAAACTTACGGCATTGTTGGCCTTGATCATCAACTAGCAATCAGTGGGTAAAGAAAATTAAGATACTATTATCCAAGAAGCATATGCCACAAGTTTTGGAAGAGCATTTCAATTCCAAAATGCAAGGGAGATGCATATGGTAATTTGTCACACAGCTTGTGCTTTTTCTTCAATCTTTATTTGATCATCTATGCTTAATTATAGTAAATTCCCGAGTATATGTACTACCACTTAACTCTTAATGCAAGCGCAAATATGCAGCTTGCAGCAGCCTGGTCACATTGATTTCTCAAAGAAACCTATGTGTTCGACTTTGTCATTAGGTCCATGAAAGCCAATAAATCACTTTTCTTTTGCGAAATGAAAACTAAATTCAAAAAATTTTCAACTGTTAGCCTCTATTTTTTGTATGAACAAAATTATAAACGAAAAAGATGCTTAGCTACAAATTCAGATTTATCTTCAACCACATTTTTAATTCAAGTCAGATTTAGGCAGTTTTGATAAATGGCAAACCCTTTGAAAGGGAACGATAGCAATTTATATCACCAATAAGCAGAGATACTATCAAATATAAACAATTGAAGTGCCAGACAGGGTTTAGTAACACCAACTGGAAATTACAAATAGTTTCATTAATTATCAAGTCCTCCTTAAAAGCATGAAATAGTCTTCTGCTGAAGATGTCCTATACAGTAGCATAGCATCCCCTTGTATTATATATGCTGCAGCCTGGAGTCTTCATTGGACAAGATTAATCCACTGCTGCTGATATAACCTCCTCATCTTTTCAACTGATGTCATATTTGCACTTGCACTGATAAATTCCACGTTTTCTTCATTACATTACGAGCCATGCAACCAATTCATTAAGAGCATCATAGTTTCATACATATTCTAGGAGATTTTTAACTTGAATACAGAGCAACTATGCTGCGATTCATGGTGACCATATTGCATTGTCAAAGACTCAAAAGAACTGTTATTCTTTATAGGTTTTCACGACATAAACATAACAAGATACCTAACCCAAAACTTACGGCATTGTTGGCCTTGATCATCAACTAGCAATCAGTGGGTAAAGAAAATTAAGATACTATTATCCAAGAAGCATATGCCACAAGTTTTGGAAGAGCATTTCAATTCCAAAATGCAAGGGAGATGCATATGGTAATTTGTCACACAGCTTGTGCTTTTTCTTCAATCTTTATTTGATCATCTATGCTTAATTATAGTAAATTCCCGAGTATATGTACTACCACTTAACTCTTAATGCAAGCGCAAATATGCAGCTTGCAGCAGCCTGGTCACATTGATTTCTCAAAGAAACCTATGTGTTCGACTTTGTCATTAGGTCCATGAAAGCCAATAAATCACTTTTCTTTTGCGAAATGAAAACTAAATTCAACGTAGAATCACCTAACTAATTAAGCTAAGCACTTACAAAAAGACTTTAATTTTTATAGTTTAATCAGTCACGCAGCTCCAATAACGATTTCCCCTTGCAATAATCTAGAAGCCCCCTCAACTCAATCCAGCTTTATCTCACTAAAGCAAACTAACTTTATATTTAAATATGGTTTGAACATACCAATTGATAGCAGTTCATTCACTTGAAGTATTGAACAAATCAAATTCCAAGCAAACAAAGTAATAAACAAAAAAGAAGCCCAATCCTTGTTCTTCAATCACAAAAGAACATACACACTTTACTGACAACTCTTTAAATAAACAACCAAAATTAGATCCAAAAAACCAGAAAAAGAACGAAATAAACCAGATAAAAGCATTCAATTTTTAAACAATGAGCCTTCAAAAGGCTGAAAAGTTCAATCTTTAACAACAACCCTATCATGTATTGCCATATTAAGAAACTAACAAAGATTCTATCCGCCCAAAAAACCAAATGACACGGATAAACAATATTCCAAATTAAAACAAGTAATACTAATATAATTTAGAATCATATAGTTTTTATCCACAAACATTATCATAAGTTAATCCATATTAAATATCCAAATTTCAGTCAAACCCCCTATAAACCAAAATGGACAAGCTGAAATTAAAGAAATAAGCACACACACATCCCGAACTATACCTCAATGGCAAGAGAGTTACTCAAAAGAAATGCCAGCCCAGAAACAGCAGAGAACATCGCACACTCCACCAGCCTTAACGTCTTCTGATAAACCTCTCCATCTTCGGCTAAGTATTCTTCAAAGTCTTTAGATTCCTCTTCTTCTTCAAGTTTCTCGTTAGCAAAAAATGGGGTTTTAGAATGAATAGCTGAGGCTTTTGCATATTTAGTAAAAGAATAAATTAATGGAGTATAGGATACCGAAAAATTGGATTTTTGTTTTTGAGATGGGTGGAACAAGAAATGGGGTGAGAGATTAGGGGTAATTTGGGAATTTTGACAAAGCTGGTGGCGGTGGTTGAAACGGTGGTGGTTAAGCTTGATTTTGAGGAGATTCATTTTTTCTATTCATGGAGGAGAAATGTCGGAGCGGCGGATAGTGGTGGTGCTATTTTAGAGGATAAAGCGGGATTTAAGAAATAAGTCGCACGTTGTTCAGGGACTTTTACAAATAAAGTCGCACGCTGTAAGTGCAATTCACACTTTTCATCCTCTATCTCTGCAATGTCATTTGTTGCTAACCTATACTCAAACCTTGTGAGCTATGCTATATATGATTTATAAAGTTGATTGGTAAAGTACTATTCACACCAATCATTTCAAAAATAAATTTTTAAATCATTAAAAATAAATGATCTAAATTTTGCCAACACTTATTTTATCAACCAAATTTGTATATACACTTTGTACAGATAGCATAATACTTTATTATTATACATTCCAACCATTCACTTAATTGTAAATCATGTTCATGCGTCTACAGGGGCGGAGTCAAGATCGAACTACAAATTGGGCTAATACATAACAAGCTGGACTAACATGTAAAAAAAATATAAATTTACACATAAAAAAAATTAGTTTTTGTCCTAAAAAACATTAAGTGGGCGGAGAGGGGACTGACCTCCCTTTAAATACACATAAGATGACGAATTTTTCATCATCTTTAAATAAATACACACATATGTATATGTGTTCTATATATATATATATATATAAGAATAATAATAAAGGGAAAATTACAATAGGAATCCTAAATCTTTTTAAAAAATTACAAATAGATCATCTACTTTTCCAAGGATTCCACAGGGAAGACATCCTCATCATTTTCGTATTTTGGAAGAAAGTAGTCCTAGGAGCAAGTCACCCTCATCAATTTTTGCAAATGTATCATATCCCATCGTATTAAATCGTTGCATGACGAAGAAATGCCCTACAATACAAGCACGTCGCCTACGTGAATTTCTATATGTGCATCATACCACATCATATTAGCTCGTTGCATGATGAAGTACCGTACAACATGTCGACAACATCAATTTCATCACATGAACCATATCCCTCCATATTGGCTCGTTACATGGTAAAGAGATTGCCCATAAGCATTTGCTTTTACCCATTTCAAGATCTCCCGCCTTATAAAACCAAGAAAAATAAATAGATTAGCTGAATATAAAGAAAGAAAAAAATCAAACAAAAGTTAGAAATAATTTAGAGGGTGTATTCAATTGGGATTTTTAAAAATTTTTGTAGACTTTTTAAAGTAGGTGATCTTTTGTGAATTTTTTGAATTTGCTAAGAATTAATAAAAATCTTTTGTGGACTTCTATAGACTTAGATTAAAGACTTTTTAAGACTTTCAAATTTATTATATACTTAAAATTTTACAATCTGACTTACTACCTAATTAATGACTTCAAGAAATATGATGCCCACAATTTTTTTTGGATAAAGTCAATAGTCATGGTCCAATAATTATATTTTGGCACAAATAAAATAGAACACAAACTTTTACATCAATTTCTAAGAACATAACCAAATTTTTTTCGTGAAATTAATATAACTTTAAGAACACAAATTGTCCCTAAAAAATAAAATAAAATAACAATAATAATAGATCAATTACATAAAATTCTACATTTCGAAATAATTGCGTATAATTTCAATTTAAAAGTAATTATATACATATAGAATAATTATAAATTGATTGCAACATATAAATTAAAAAGATATGAAAAAAAAAATCCTAAAATTGAAAGGAAAAAGGCCTTTTTTTTTCTTTGAAATCTTCATAAATCTTAAAGTATATGAGAGATTTTCTTTGAAATTTGCTATTTATATTTTTTCACCAAAAACTCTCTAAAAGTCCAGTAAATAGAGAATTCTTTAAAATCCACTATCTATTTGAATATCTCATAACTTATAGAGACTTTTAAATTTTTTTAGTTGAATACCCGATGACTTTTAAAAACATTTTAAAAGTTAATAGAAATTTCAATTAAATACACTTAAACTTTTAGCGAATATTTAAAACTCTCAATTGAATACATTTAGTATTTTAAATCCTCGAGATTCTTTGAAAGTTTTATATAAAACCCCCTTTAAATCAATATCAAATATAATGTCCCCAGTAAAGACATCAAAAACTTGTTGGTGTAAAATCGCATGTGTATAATGTCAATTAAACAAGTAATAAAGTTTCTAAAGAGTCCAAAATATTGTCCAAAATAAAAGTTTCTAAAGAGAAAACTTGCTTGCCACTAATCATTAGGCGTCATATGTGATGTTATATATATAGAAATCACATTGTTTAACCATTTCTTTTTACTCTATTACTTTTTCTCCATTTTTTCACACTAACTCCCACGCTCCTTACCTCCATTCTCCTCGCATCCGTCTTCTCCCTTTTTTCCTCTTCATTTCTTTCTCTCTGACTTTCCCTTTTCATTTTCTCTCTCCACAGTTGATCAAAACCCTTGGTGAAAATTCATTTGAAGCTGCATTTTTTGCCTCTTTTTTTTTTGAAAATCGAACTACGACTTCATTTTTTTTGCTTCTCTAATATGGATTTCCAAGTATGAATGAGTAATTTCACTTCCATTATAATAGAAGGTAGTGCTCCATCTATTTTTTGGCATTGACCTCATGTCGTAGTGATATTGCAGCTCTTTGATTCGTTAAATATGGTTAGAGCGTATGGCCTTGAAAGCTTTTTGTAGGATAATTTATTGCTTTAAATTACCGAATCTTTCATGTTAAATCATCAAGAAATTGAAGAATTAAAGCGGAAGCGTACCTGAATCAGACATGGTTAATGCAATAATGAATTACGAGGTATAGTCTTCCAAATCTACACGCAGTCTCTTTTTTCTCTCTCTGTGATGGGATACAGTAGAGAATAAATAATACGTATGTGTGATCTGGGGATCATAACCATATTTATATAGCGACGCCCTTTAACCTAATTCGGCCCATCATAGAATTAGGATTTGGACTCGGTCTCTACACATTAAAGCCCAAAATCAAAGCCTTATTAAATCACTTTAATTGGGCTCAAACGAATTCGATAACCTTTAATTTAACACACAATTATTCACACATATAAGTCCATCGATGGATTAAAAATCCTTACAATCTCCCAGTTGGGTTATGTGTCACCTTATAATTGTGAATTAAATATAACCTTATAAGTACTCAGAATTTTGTTATCATTACTGAATATATCTCCTAAACAATCTCCTCCATCAATCATATCAAAATAGGATCAAAGCGGCTTTGCTATCTTCATTGTAGCTAAACCCATCAATGGTCACGTATATCGATATAACCGAATGACATGGATCAAGCATGGATGTCTAGCATGAAAATTACATGTAATGTGATCTGTAACATGCCTATTTCCAACTGGTCCACTTTAATGCCTTAGTGAGATCATTTTAAACAAGTTTAGAGATAATAAACCAAATAACTTTATAACTAAAAATAACTTTAACATTAAATTGTATCTAAAATAACAGTACATGTGTCCAATATGAAAAGCAAAAATTCAAACTCCCACTGAAACTAGGTATCCTCAAGAGACACTATACCCATATGAGCAGTGTGCTTATGAAAGATCTTGGGTATTAATCCCTTAGTAAGCGGATCCGCAACCATGGAGTTTGTCCTAATATGCTCTATTGATACCTGTCCACTCTAAACTCTTTCTTTAACAGCCAGAAACTTGATCTCTATATGTTTTGACTTCTCGAGCCCTGTTGTTATTAGAATACAGCACTGCTGATTTATTATCACAAAATATCTTAAGTGATCTTTCTATATTGTCCACAATGCGCAGCCCAGTGATAAAATTACGCAGCCATATTCCATGATTTGATGCCTCATAACACGCTATAAATTTCACTGCCATAGTGGAAGTAGCTATGAGTGTCTGCTTAGCACTCTTCCAGGAAATAGCACCTCCAGCAAGCAGGTAAATATTGCCCGAATTGGATCTCCTACTATCTTGACATCTTGCGAAATCGAAATCAGAATAACCAATGATCTCCAACTGATCTGATCTCCGGTATGTGAGCATGTAGTCTTTTGTTCTCTGTAAATACTGCATGACTAGTTTGACTGCTTTCCAATGATCCATTCCCAGGTTACTTAAATATCTCGCTAACATCCCAACAATGTACACTATATCATTGCTGGCAAGCAATATATCATTGACATATAAAACCAGAAAAATATATTTGCTCCCACTGAACTTGTGGTACATACAATCATCGGCCAAATTCATCTCAAAACCAAATGAGATGATCACCTGATGAAACTTGTAATACCATTGATGAGACGCCTATTTGAGTCCATAGATGAATTTCTTTAATTTACAAACTATTTGCTTTGCATCATCTGATACAAAGTTTTCTAGTTGTACTATATAAATTGTTTCATCAATATCACCATTGAGAAACGCTGTCTAAACATCCATCTGATGTAGCTCAAGATTGAAATGCACTACCAATGCCATTATAGTCCTAAAAGAGTCTTTCGAAAAAATTGGAGAGAAAGTCTCTTTATAATCGATGCCTTCTTTCTGTGTAAAATCCTTTGCGACAAGATGAGCCTTATACCTCTCTACATCATCTTTCAAATCCCTTTTGGTCTTAAATATCCATTTGCCACCAATGGGTTTCGTACATTTAGGCAATGGAATGAGGTCCCATACGTCATTGTCCTTCATGGACTTTATCTCTTCATTAATGGCATTTAGCCTCTTTTGAGAGTTAGAACTTTCCATGGCTTGACGGAAGTTGATCGTATCATCTTCCACCATTCCAATGTCAACTTCATGTTCTTGGAGAAATACGATGTAATCATTCAAAATCGCACTTCTCCTCTCTCTGGTTGATCTTCTTAATGTCATTGGTTCTTGAGGCTGTAGAGTTTGTTCTTCTGGAACAATTTGTTGATCTTGAGAGGGAGGTATGACATTATCTTGATCCAGAGTTGCTTCTTGAACAATATCAGGGATATAAACCTGATCATTGTCAATAACAATTGGAGGAATTTCAACATATTCCTCTTCAAAGACAAAGCTTGTAACCCTTTCTCCCCCCGCAAACTCAACATCCTCAAAGAACCGAGCATTCCCTGTCTTGAA